TCTCAAATATGCCACACCTCGTCCCTTTAAATGCAAAAGCTTTAATTTTCCTCAGCAGAGATAGTCCTGAGAAGGGGCGTGTACCCCAGGCGACCTGAAGCCCCGGGCGGGGGTCACGGTGCGGGGGAGCGCGCATGGGGCGGGGCTGGGGGGACAGGCGCACACAGGGAGTGGGGGCTGGGGGGACAGGCCCCCACTCGCAGGCTCCACGCTCACCTCCCGGAAGCCCTGCTCAAAATGCCGCAGCTGCAGGCACTGCTCGAGCTTCTGCTGGTGCTTTGCCCAAAACTCGTCAAAGGCCGCCTCCGTCTCGCTCAGCTGGGCCAGGAGCCTGGGAGAGGAGGATACGGCCTTGGCCTTCCTGTGTCGCGTGGGGGGACCGCCCCCCTGGGCACCCCACAGGAGCAACACACGAGCCCCGCAGAGCAGTGGAAGAACTCGCGGGTGGAGTGGGAGAGGCTGGGGTGGGCCCCCTTCCCGAGCACCTCCCCTTCTTGTCGCACTCCCAGCGGAGTGAGTGGAGTTTGCTAATTTTATTGTATTTTTTTGAGACAGAGTCTCACTCTGTTGCCCGGGTTACAGTGCCATGGTGTCAGCCTAGCTCACAGCAACCTCAAACTCCTGGGCTCAAGCGATCCTCCTGTCTCAGCCTCCCGAGTAGCTGGGACTACAGCCATGTGCCACCATGCCCGGCTAATTTTTTCTATATAGTTTTGGTTGTTCAGCTAATTTCTGTTTTTTCAGTAGAGACGGGGTCTCGCTCTTGCTCAGGCTGGTCTAGAACTCCTGACCTTGAGCGATCCACTCACCTCGGCCTCCAGAGTGCTAGAATTACAGGCGTGAGCCACCGTGCCGGGCCAAGTTCGCTAATTTTAAAAGGCCAAGGAGGTAGGGTTTGGGCTCATTACATACACTCTAGCCCAGAGGTGAAGGCGGCTGGGCCATCCGCCTCTGGCCTGGGGGCTCCTGCGCACAAGGCGCTGCCCCTGTCCCCACTCAGTCCCCAGCCTCCTGGCCAGG